TTATTTATTTATTTATTTATTTTTTTTTTTTAAATTCTGCCAAGAGGTTTTTATTGATGGGACTGGACTACTGCTGTAAAGTCCTCTCCAGCTCATCTCAAAGAATCTCAATGGGATTAATATCTGGACTCTGGTTTGTAATGAGAGAATCACTTCATCCTCTATTCTCCTTGCAGTGGTTTGCGTTCATTACTCTGTAACGGTGTGAATCTGGACTCGGACTACATGACCTTTTCCCACAGCTCCCAAGTGCTCCTTTGCAAATTCAAGTCTTTTTGTTTTTGTTTGGTTTTAATTAATCTCACTGTTAAGTGGTTTTCTTAAAGCTTCAACAGATGTTTACTTCAGTACATTGAGAGCTCTTCACACTGTGTAGGTGGAAAAGTTTTTACTTTCTCTGTAAAACCTTGCAGTGAGTGCTACAGTTATTTTTTTTTCAATTTGTTTTAACCTAAATTGAAGGGATTTTTAAATTTATTTTCCCAACCACATTTCATCCAAAGAAAGGATAGTTTACTGCTTTTCTTCAAGGGTTTTAATAATGTGCCAAACAGTTTTGGCATTCTGCATGAATGTGTTCAAATGAGCCGACTTAATGGGCTCCAACCACTGTGGCCACATTAAACATGGCCCTTTTGGAGAGTGAACAGTTGCTGTAAACTGAGAGATTTCTTGGACAAATCTCAGATGCTTCATAGTGAAGAAAGTCATCAAAATTTCCCATTGCGGATTTTATTAGTGCTCTGTATGGGCACTAGGTTGTCACTGTGTACTCTTATATTTGGTAGCATGTTTAAATCAATCAAATGCACACAGTTCCTTCTTTTTTTTAAATAAATATTAAACCAAAGCTGCTTGCCCTTACTATTAAAGCTGAATGTTTATGTCAGTTTGTATCTGTAAGCCCAGTTGTCCCTGTACCCCTGGAGGAGCATGATCCAGCCGTAAAGAGACAGCTCTCAGCATGCAGACACAAGGAAAAGTTTTTTAAATTTTCTGCCTCGTCTTATTTTCACTGTAACAGATCATTGGACATATTAAACACAGACGAACTCAAGTCACAGCTATTGTCTTTATCTCACATGAAAGGAAAGCTTGTCTGGTGATGGGGTTGAAAACAAAAGAATCTGGATGCTGTTTGAGCAAAGCATCTTTTCAATCACAATTATAGTTCATATTGGGATCCAATATTTGTGAGCATGAAGGATAGAAGAGAAAGAAACATATTTAATAATTGGACAAAGAGCAGAAATCAAATGCAATATGATGACGCTATAAATACACTTAAATGATTCTTAACTACATTTACCAAAATTCAAAACCATTTTAGAAGACTTTATCTCATAAAGTTTTGATAAACAAGGACAATCTGGTCCACTTTGGGACTGTGAATTTACATCAGATTTATTGTTTATCTGTGGGAACTGAACTTTAACATAGCTAAATATTTTAGTGTGAACTTGCAGAACACTGAACAGCATTTGACCCAGTCATTCTAGTTTTTACAAACTAAATTTAGAGGAATAATTTGAAGCCAATGAAAGAGCAGTATATTTTCCATGATGGCAGAATGTGTGTTACTCACTGCATTTGTTTGGAAGAACACATTTGTCAACTGATTACAAAATTATCCCTGCAGTGCTTTTCTGATTGGTGGTGGTGAGTAGTATGGATTTTCTTAAAGAAATCCAGGTGTTTTTGCCATCAACAATGTACTTTGCCTCAGATCTAGCCTAACTGTCAACCAGCAGAGACATTATTCAAACATTTTTTTCATGAGTCTCAGGTTGAACTGTCACAGTCCCCAAGCAGTACTGTTTTGAACTTTTGTGATATTGATCAGGCAAAGCAGCCTTGATTGCTCGACCCTCTGTTGGTGCCGCATAACACACAGCATTGAATATTGAATAATCAGGCCCTGGGGAAATTAGTGAGATATCACAGCAAACGAGTTCCATCACAAGTTGTGGTGAAATGACAGTGGCAGGAAAAAGGTTGGAAAATGAGCTTTGGGGGTGGAATACATTGTGCTTTCTATTGAAGTCGCAAAGCTTCTGGTGCCCAAGGCTCAACTTCAGCTCCTTTCTCTCATCCTGTGTACACACTTGACTTCTCTGAGGAAAGAGCAGCAACATCTGTTTAACCTGAAGCACTTTTGTCCAACTGAGGGATTTATGGATAAAAGGCTGTCGGTGTAGAACACAGAGCTATTAGCTGCAGTCACCACATTCAGTAGTCCAATATAAAAGGACAAGTATGGAAACCGAACAGCTGTTCTCAAACTTGTGTTTTGCATATCTTGCAATTTTCCAAACAAAAGCAAGCCCTGAAACAAAATAACACTAAGCTGCAAGCTTATAATATCAAACAGATCTCTTGTGTTTTTTTCCCCTTCCTGTATAGAAAAACTTATCAGCCTTCCTCAATGCTGGACAGATGTACTATTGGAATCCTGCATTGTCTCAATTATAGCCAAGTCCCAGATCTACCTTTTGTGCCAGTTGGAAACTAAATATTGTATATTTACCATTTTATTTCTCTGTTGAGCTCTGCAATAAAGCACAGCAGAGGAGCCTGAAGGCATATATTGTGCAATGCCAAAGTCAAGTTATTGTAGCACCATAATCCTCCACATCAAACTGCCAGTTAGAAGCAAAATCTGCATAGAAAAGATATGTTTGCAACATGAGATTAAAGGGCAGCAAACATCATCTTATGGATATCAAACTAGTGGCACTCATTACTCTCTATGAACATTTAAGAGTCACAAAAGCAAACACTCTCCTTAGCCTCCCTGGTAATGGGTATTCAGGGGTACTGGAGAATCGAGTCCTATCATTGGTTGAACCTCAGATCCAGGAAGAATAATGTGGGTTCCGTCCTGGCCGTGGAAAAGTGGTTAAGTTCTTTACCCTCACTAGGGTCCTCGAGGGGTCGTGGGAGTTTGCCCATCCAGTCTACATGTGTTTTGTGGAGTTGGAGAAGGCATTTGACTGTATTCCTGGGTACAACTTTTATGGACAGAATTTCTCAGTGCAGCCAGGGTGCAGAGACATTCCAGTTTGGTGGCCTTGGGATTCCATCTCTGGTCTTTGCAGATGATGTGGTTCTGTTAGTATCATTGTGCCGTGATCTCTAGCTGTCACTGGCGCGTTTTTCAGCCGTGTGAAACAGCTGGAATGAGAAACAGCACCTCTAAATCTGAGGCCATGGTCCTCAACCAGAAAAGTGTGGATTGCTCTTTTCGGGTCAAGCGTGAGGTTCTGCCTCAAGTGGAGGAGTTCAAGTATCTTGGGGTTTTGTTCATGAGTGAGGGAAGAATGGAGCGTGAGATTGACAGACAGATTGGTGCAGTGTCTGCAGTATTGCGGCCTCTGTGCCAGTCCATTGTGGTGAAGAGGGAGTTGAGCTGTAAAACAAAACTCTATGTTTACCAGTCAGTCTGTGTTCCTTCCCTCACCTATGGTCAAGATCTCTGGGTAGTGACCGAAAGAATGAGATTGCGGATACAGGTGGTTGAAACCGCTGTTCCTCCACATCAAGAGGAGCCAGTTGAAATGGTTAGGGCATCTGGTAAGGATGCTTCCTGGGCGCCTCTCTAGAGAGGTGCTTCGGGCATGTCAGACTGAGAGGAAATCCCGGGGAAGATTCAGGACATGCTGGAGAGACTACGTCTCTCAGTTGGCCTGGCAACATCTTGGTGTCCTCCCAGAAGAGATGGAAGAGGTGGCTGTGGAAAGAGATGTCTGCTCAAACTGCTGCCCCTGCAACCCAACTTCAAAAACAAGTAGAAGATAATGGATGGATGTATGTATGTATGTATGGATGGATGGATGGATGATGGATAGATGGATGGATGGAAAAGCAAACACTCATTCCATCCTTGGGAATCGTCTCACTATGTGCATGTGAGTAAGCAGGAAACCCAAGATTCAAATACTGATCACCTGGAGGCTCAATAGAAACCTACAAAGACGTCACTAAAAAAAGGTTATGTAAGGCCAAGAGTTTAGACTTTTGCACAGTGTAGAAAAAGGTTAGTTTTTTCAAAGCCACCTTACAGCTCTTTTCATGCTCAAATTGAAATGTTATGTATAATAATTGTTATTTATTTATTTTAACCAGTGAATATTTACTGCATAATTCTATTTACAGATCTTACCACATTTTATCTTTTAAAAGAAAAAATAATAAAATTGTCCTCCATGTGCTTTTTTATTGTTCAGCTGGATAACATCTTCAGTCGTAGGTGAGTTGTTACAGTGAAGTGCTCCAACATTCACCTTATTTACATTAAACAAATCGAACCCAATACGCTGTGATCAGTCTAGCATTGATATCTTGACTAAACTGACTCTAGCATCCAGCTTGATAAACTGGGCTTCTGCGTAGACCACTTGGACGTAATCACAATTCTCAGTATAAAAAGCATTCAGAAACTCAATGGCCTCTATGGATGACACATTGCTCATCGATGAGCTGCTCGATTTAATATAGTGTTGCCCCACTGAACACAAGTGACGCATAAATCTGTGCCTTTCCCAAAGCTGATTCACCTTCTGCCCCTGAGTGTTCCCCTGTGATTCAGGCAGCTTTGACATTCACCTGCCTCCCATCATGGGCAAAGAAACAGACCAGTGGCTCTAACCTTTACTCAACTGGTGATTTAGCCTGCCTGCCTGCACTGATAACACACTCCATCAGAGTTGCCCTGAGAGGAGGAGATGAGGGCTGCTCTGTGGTGCTGCTGTGCTCAGGTAGGGCCTTTACTCACCGCCACCCATCCTCTGTGTGTTAGCCAGCATCCCCCTTTTATCTCAACCTTGCTTCTATTTCATGCACCCACTAAAGCCAAGTACATTCCTATTTTACTGCACAAAACCACGATGTGGAGCCTTTAAAGTCAACTACATGTGCTCTCACAGCATCCACAAACCTTGATCCTTGATATAGGTGATAAACGCCCTCAGCTATAGACGACATTTGTCTCAGCTACAAGTCTATGACACAGTGATAAGCTGCATGACTAATTTCTTTCATAAACGCTTTTTGCAGTTCTGCGTAGTAATGTATGTCAAATGACAGACCTTGATGTGCTCTGGAGCTTGTTAGCAACAATTACAATGCCACAGTCGAGTTTGTGATAATATCTTACAGAGCCTTGTTAAGATGCAGCACGTTATTAAAATTCTTTGCAAAGTGCCAGTTAGTTGGGTTTATTTGTTAAAAAAACAAAACAACTAATGAATAAATGTGCATATTTGCAGCTCATATTTGTTCATTCAAGAAAAACTGCATAAAGGATTATTTTTAAGTCTGTTTCATTGGAAGTGAAGTGTCCAATCATACAGTAAAGAATATTGTGCTCCTGAACGCTGGGGATTTTACACAGTAGTCATCACCTAATAATGTGAAGCTGAGAGTTGTCTATTCAGCACAAAAAGGTGTTCAGCAGAGTTGTTTTTTTTCCTGCAGATTATTTCCCACAGACAGATGCTCTCTAAATCTGCGCTGTGAGTGATTATGTTTGTCAGGACAGTAGTCTGTTTGCTGAACACCGGAGAGTGAGATTGGTAGGAGAGAATAGTCGCCAAAGATAGACAGCTGCAGCATTGTGTTGATTGCCACTTCCTCTTGTGTAATTTGAAATGGAGTTTTTTTTAAGTCTCTCTGCCGAGCTCTTGACGGAACCTGTCATCTCTATGCCAAGGCATTACAGCCACTTTCAGTCATCCTTGGACTGAAGGACCATGATGGAACAAAAAATAAATAAAAAAAAACAGTGTTTTTGCACTTTGGTCCAAAGGACGAATAAATCACGATGCTTGTGTGTTTGAAATCAATTCTTTTGCTTTTGCTATTGGAGTAACAAATCGTCTCCCTTGTAATCAACCCCTCTTTTCCTGCTGTTCTCATCAAAATTCTCTGAATGTTCTGTTGCCATGGTACCTTGAAAAATCTGCTGCTGAGATTTTTTTTTTTTCCTTTTTCTTCCTGAGATAGCGGTTCTTCTTTTTTCTGTCTGCTTACCTCACAGACAGAACCACTTTGGATCAATTTAAAACAAAACATGCGTTTAATGTAAAAATAGATTTTCGGGACGAAGAGAACCTCACACAGAAAATCAAAAGGGCAATGTTCTGCCATTTAACTTCTGCTGGGTTTTGGTCAAATTGTTTTCGTCTGAATGCACTGATACGCTCAGAAATATGAGGTTTGATATCACTCTTGACAGAGCTGTGAATACAACATATGGGGCCGCAGTTAAAACTTTTGTCACCTTACCCTCTAGTATTTGCACATTTGTTCCTTGTACAAATCAAATAGGATTTAGATACAAAATCTCAGTTGAACTTTAAAGATTTCTCTCAAAGGCTTCTCAGAAGAAAACTCAGGAGCATGCTGTGTTTTCCTGGCTCTTTTAACACCCTGGGCTGGATTTCTGTGGGAGCCGAGTTCCCATAAGAAGGTGTTTGAGCTCCTATAATAACAGTTAGGCTGTCAGCTATAGAAGTTGCCAATTCACTGCCTGATCAAAGAAAGAGAGAGAGAGAGAGAGAAAGTTACCACCTTGATTTTATTAAGTAAAAAAGTAAGCTTTTTTTTAAAGCATCCTCTTTAAGGAAAAACGCTTCGGTAATTAAGCTTGCGTATTATCTAAACATTATGTGAAATCAAATGCAAATTAATTAGGCAGAATTCATGAAAGTAGTTCATATTACCTGCTGACTTACATATAAAGTTTTATAGAAAGATCTTGTGTGATCTGTTGGAGCTCAGACTTTGTGTTGGAGACAACGTTCAGCTATAATGTCATTACCATATTTTTCAGACTATAAGGCGCATTTAAAACCCTTTAATTTTCTCAAAAATCCACAGTGAGCCTTATAATCTGGTGCGCCTTATGTATTAATTCTAGTTGCTCTTACTGACCTTAAACTGATTTTATGTGGTACATGGGGCTCAATGATATGTCAAAAACTTTTAGGTTTGCTTAATGCACCTTATAATCCGGTGCGTCTTATGTATAAAAAAAGACCCGTTCGTTGATATTGCACCTTATAATCTGGTGCGCCTTACAGTCTGAAAAATATGGTATATTTTAGCTGCACATCTGTAAAAAGAACTGGTCTGAGTTTTAATTGCCTTTGCTAACTGTGGTGGCTGCTTATAGGCTGACTCAACATGTTAATTAGCTGTAAAAATGCATCCAGTGATTATTTTATGTGAGTTTCAATATAATCTGTCTGCTGCGTCGTTACTTATTTTGCTAACAAACAGGTTACTTTTAGGTTATTTCATTTTTTTTTTTTTTTTACTTTTTTTACACAACGGAACATCCAACACCCCCCTTCATTAAACACTTAAAAAAAAAAAAAATGAAACAAATAATCAATAGTAAAAAACAGAATAGCACAGCAGGAGCTATTGACAACTTAAAAAAAATAGTCACAATAAATATCCTAAAGCAACGAAACTTCAGGACAAAATCCTCTGGAAGTCATAATTAACCACCCCGTCAAGTTGCCAGATACACCTCCACACAGCGCCACCTTTACTCAAAAAGATCTGTAGTCATTTGTAGAACAGAACCGACTTTTCCATAGTCTATGCATGCTTGACCCTCACCATTCAGTTATTGTTGGGGGTTTCAATTCTTTCCAATTTAAAGTTTTTTTTTTCATTTATTTTATTTATTTTTTATTTTTTCAGCTGCTCCCTTCATCAGGGTCACCACAGCGAATTAAGTCGCACAAAGACTTGGCAGTTATTTGAAGGGCCCAGAGTGGAGCAAACGAGCGTGGAGACAGGTGTGGGTGCTTCACCTATCCCACCCACATTTTAATGTTGTCGGTGCCGGGAGTTGAACCAACGATCTTCTGATCACAGGCCCACCTTCTCTAACCTCTGCACCACCACTCCCCTCTTTCCAATTTACAGTGATTAGTTTTTTTTTTACAACCAATAATAAAATGTGTATTATATACCTTTGATTTGAACTGAAATCCTCATTTAACATAATCCCCATTAAATAAAACACAGGACTTGATGGAACCTCCATCCCCAGTATTTTCTCAAGCTCCATCTTGATGTTCCTCCAGCAGGTTTGGATAACAGGACAATCCCAGAATATGAGGTTATTTCACATGTTTTGGCAAAAATCGTACACAATCTGGTAAGCTGAGTTTGTGTTGGGCATGACTCTCAGCTATACCACACCAAGTTTTAACCAAAGATTTCCAAAGTTGATTGAGCTGCAATTTTATTTATTTATTTTTTGTTAAACATTGAATTGGGTTGACTTTAAACGTTACTTTATGACTGAAGAATAGTCCAGATATTAACAGCTGAAATGAGCTTCATCTATATGGTGGAGAAAAGGTGAGGACCTCCATCAACCCCAAAAAGAAATCAGCTAAGATGATACAGACATCTGACACCTCCTGGAGGTTGTACAGGCACGACATATGGGAGGAGCTCCTCTCTGCCCTGGAAACAGCTTGGGATCCCCTAGGGGGCACTAGAGAGGATTGCTGGAAAGATGCCTGGGGTTTTTCTCCTGAACCTGTTGCCTTGACGACACAATTATGAATACCGTATTTTCCGGCATATATGTCGCTCCAGAGTACAAGTCTCATCAGTCAAAAAAAGCATCATGAAGAGGAAAAAAAAAACATATATATAAGTCGCATTTATTATGCATCACCAAAATTGAAATCGAAATTTAAAGAGTCAGACAAAAATTGCATTATGGTTATTGGAAAAAAAAAAAAAAAACGTATACAAGTTGCTTCAGAGTTTAAGTCGCAGGACTGACAAATGAATGCAAAAAAAAAAAA